TTATTAAAATTCAGTTAACGTTCCAGTTCTTAGGAATTATTTTTTCATATGATGTATTCCTACGCGCTCGGTAAATGCAAGATAAAAATAACAGAAAGGGGCCCCGCATAGGGTTTTAAAATATTTTTTTAAAATGTTAACACAAATTGGAATTATAAGGATTAAACGTTCTTTTTGAGAATTTTATCGATGTGTAAACTCTTGACATTTTACTCACAAACTTAACATAAAAGTGCTTCGCACTTTTATTTAGTTTGTGAGTAAAATGTCAAGAGTTTACACATCGATAAAATTCTCAAAAAGAACGTTTAATCCTATAATAAAATATAGAAAAAATATAAGGACCAGACACGAATTATGATCTTTTTCTGTCAGTGACCTTGAACTTGCATGAATGACCTTGGTTCAACGTCATGACACAACCTAGGATCATAAGCAATGTTTGTGTGAAGAAGTAGATTCACGTTTTTCCATAATTAAGAAAGATATGGACCGGAACCAAATTATAAAAAAAAATTCCAGTGACCTTGAACTTCCGCTAGTGACCTTGACTCAAGGTCATGACACATCCTTAGGTCATGAGCAATCTTTGTGTGAAATTAGAACCCACCAATTTTATCCACAAGAAAGATATGGACCGGACACGAATTATTAAATTTTTCTTCCGGTGACCTTGAAGTTCCCCAAAGACTTTGAGTCAAGGTCATGACACACACTTAGGTTACAAGCAATCGTTTTGTGAAATTAGAACTTACCAAATTTATCCGTAAGAAAGATATTTCTACGAATTATGAAATTTTCATTCCAGTGACCTTGAACTTATCAAATAACCGTGGGTCAAGGTCATGACACACCCTTAGGTCATGTGCAATCTTTGTGCGAAATTAGAACCTACCAAGTTCATCGATAAGGAAGATATGGACGGGACACGAATTATGAATTTTTTTCTTTCAGTGACCTTGAATTTCCTCAAATGACATTGGGCCAAGGTCATGACACACCCTTAGGCCATGGGCAATTTTTTGTGGAGTAGTAGATTCTAATGTTCCTCCGTAAGATAGATATAGACCGGACACGTTTGCACATACAGACGGACAGCTAGACAGACGGACGGACGGACAAGGTGATTCCTATATAACCCCCCCCTTGCAAACGAAACCCGAGTCAAGTATTTTGGAAACACAAAACAATGGATAGATAAATTTGAAAATTAGCTGAAACTGTGTCGATGTCCCTTTAACGAGGAACGTTTTCCAAAGAACCTTAGCATCCAAACACAACAACCACTCTCTCACGATCTGCATGGGATGTTACTAATTTTCAAGGGTTTTGTGCCACAAATTTGCATGCCTCTGAATTTGAAGCTTAAAGTCACTCCAAAGAAAGATTCTGAAGAGAAAACAGCACATTATCAATTGTTGAAGTCGTTAATTAAACAGAGACCATGCGCAGTCCAAAACAGAATGAGAGATTACATGCCCTAGACATGCTGCAGGTTGCCACAAGACACGTCGCTGTGGGTCAATATTCTACGTAGAAAAATGACCCACTTTTCTGTACAAATTATGGCTTTGGGGTCGTTTTTCTCTGTGTGCATTGTAGAAAAATGACCCCGTAGAATAATGACCCCTTATCATTTTTTGGATGCAAAAACATTCGTTTTGGTAGGAATAGGGGTAATATCAAGCAGCCTTATGCTTTGAAGTGTTAATTTCTGAAAGCTTTTAAGCTTAAATAACGAAATCAAAGCTATATAATACCTTACATTAATAATTCAAACCGTTTTATCCCCATTAAAGAAAAATAATATCTATTAAAATGTTCTAAGGCTATTAGAGCAAAGATACACGCATTCATAGAATCGTTTATTACATTTTATACAGTAAGTTTCCACAGTTGTCAATTTTTAAAACGGTCATTTTCTTGCTGGTGTCAAAAAAAAGTTTCCATAATTAAATAATTATAAATTTCTTTGATTTTACCCTGAATAAATAAGTTGCAAAACTAAAATAAAGTTGTTTTTTTTCAAAAGTTTTACATTTTTGATCCGTACTTTTAAAACGGGTGCGAAAAAGGGCGCTAGCTTAGAAAATTGTATCTTATAAAAATATTTGATTTTCTATGAATGAAGTTTCAAACTTCTTATAAAAAATAGGGATGATTTAATTTGTAAAAATAAGTACGAAATTTAATTGCCACTGACCTATTATACAAAGTAAAGAAGAAGTGGTTAGCTCATAACCTGTAAAATGTCTTGTAGTTTGCGAGTGTCAACAAAACCTTAACAAAATGGGGGTTACAGCATAAAACATGATCAACTAAAAAATACTTATGCCTTCGTAAACAAAGTTTCGGGGGTATAAGGTTTTTTACCTGCCCGTCCGTCTGTCTGCTTGTCTATTTGTCCGCAAAAACTTGAATCTTGCCCATAACTTTAGAGTGGGGCTATGGCCTTCATATTTCATGTGTATTTTTGTGACAAGATCTTTTTTTGTGTACAACCAATTTTAACCTTGACCTTGGAGTTTGACACACTTTTTCACAAAAATTCCAAACTTTTACTTTGGCATTAAATTTTGGACAGTATGTATTACATGTAGGACTTTAGATATCGAAGTAATGGCATGATAGAGTTCATTTGTATTTGCAAAGCTAGTGTCTAAAATCTCACAAGAAAGGGGATGTTATAGCAACCATTTGTCAGGTGTCTGTGGGCTAAAAAGTATTGAAAAGAATTTTTTTTGAATTTATAGATATCTCTGAAGGTTGAACTATTATTCACTGAGATCAGTCAGATGTAAATTTCTGCCAGTTTTGGAGGTTTTTTTAACATCAATATAAAAACGTTATCGATGTGTACGGTACTTCCCGTATATATACAGGAAAAAGTATAGTACCTTATATAAGGTAGTTAAAAAGTATGTATTTTAAATCAGAATGCATACAAATGTATATGTTAGCAGGCACGTAGCATCGTTTTTGAAAATGGGGGGGGGGGGGCCAACCAGAGAAATTTTTTTTACTTACCTGAAAATGTTGACAAGCATAAAACCCCCCAAAAATTAAAAGCTGCCTGTCCAAAGTCGAAAAATCCTATTTCGTGGTGGTGGTGGTGGAAGGGGGGGGGGTAGTGTCCAACTTTTTCAAAGCCAAGTTACTTTCACTTCAAATTTTTTGCTACAATTCCTTGATATCACTATACTTTGGTAAAAAGTGGGGGGGGGGGGGGCAACCATCCTTTTATTGTACATTTTCTATAGTAAAGGTAATGTTGGGGTAAAAAGTGGGGGGGGGGGGGCACAGGCCCCCCCCCCCCCCCCCCCTGTTGCTACGTCCCTGGTAAGTTTAAAGGTAAAAGCTAAGGGCACGCAATTTATATAGTTAAATTACGTTGCTTTTCTTGCTTCTACGCTATGTTTTTGGATTTGCAAAATTTTTGCAAAAAGTTTATGGTTATCGGAAACATATCATGCCATTTTCGGAACAAAACTTTTGAATGAAAAAAAAAAAACCACCCAAAAATCTATTCATAAATTTGTGCTCCTCAGTGAAGAAGGATATGGATATCACAAACAGTATTCAATATCAAAGTCCATAAAACAATACAAAATAGGAGCAGAGCATACACGGACCTTCTGAACATCAGAGGCGGGAACAGGTGCCATGGAAGAGTGAGCATCCCCTGCCGACCGGTCACATCCGCCGTGTGCTCCTTGTCGTAATCGGGTAATAACGGAAAAATTTGTCGTCAATTCAGTGTATAAATAATGGACTAACAATTAGTATGAAAAACGTCAGTCAGCATTTGAGTCAATGATAAATTTTATTTGCTGACAAGGTCATTGTATCGACCATAGAACTTACGAAATGATGACTTTAGACGAAACTGCTGATATTCTTGTTTCATCAACTTGCTTGTCAATAATTTACCTCGTTTAGAAATTGTTCAGGCGTATAGCATGCTCTTGCATATAGAATCAACTGTGATTTATAAACTCCGTATATAGGTGTTGAAGGTATATTGCTTCATAAGTAAGAGAAGTTGATGATAGAAAAGATAAAGTCATCACGTTTATCATAAAGCTTGGTTGTTAAATTACCATTAACGTCTTTATAAAGTAAAATATCCAGGTATGAAACAGATGTCTTAGACTCTATAGTATCTTTTATCTCAAGCTCACCAGGATATATCGTATCGACGTAGGAATGGAAATTGCCATTGTTAATTGAAAATACGTCGCCGATATATCTAATTGTTGAGTTGAATGCCACAGCAAGTGTTTTCTTCTTTTCACGTAAGATTCTGCACAAATTCTGTTTCATATGAATACAAAAATAGGTCTGCTAATAACGGAGCACAATTGGTACCCGCGGGAATTCCAATAGATTGTTGGAAGACCTGGGGCCCGTTTCACTAAAAGGCGTAAGATACGACCAAACTTAAGTTAGGCCTCGGGGCGTACGCCAAAATTTAGTCCGGCGTAAGTTGCGTTTCACTAAGAGGCGTACGCCTGGCCGTAAATACTAGTATCGGACTAAGTTAAGGCCAGACTTACGTCCTTGACAACGAGCTTATGCACATGCGCATACATATCATAAAGATTGAGAGTGAGAGAGGGGAGAGAAAGAAAAATTTGTTTGATATTCATTGAAAAGATATATGGAAAAGATCGCATATTCTTCTTTATTATTTATTGCAATATTTGTTTTGAGGTCCATAATAAAAACTTGAAAGCGTTGAAACATATCTAGATTGAAAATAAATCGTAGATTGAATTATGTTGAAAGGAATATATTCGCAACTGTGTTTTGTAGTGAAATAAAGAATTTAAGAAACCTCTCTCTCTCTCTCTCTCTCTCTCTCTCTCTCTCTCTCTCTCTCTCTCTGTCATGTTGATTTCCACAGCGTTTTCTTAAATAATGTGAATTTCGTAACAAACAAACATGTAAATATCGATATTGTCGTCTGCAATATTCGCTATTGACTCTGCACAATCAAAATGTCTTCGGAGAGTAAAAAACGTAAGCCAAACTGGACTGATGATGAAATGAAAATTCTAACATCTTGTGTAATTGAAAACAAAGATGTATTATTTGCAAAACTGTCGGCTTCAGTGACAAACGAGAAAAAGAAAGCTGTATGGGAAGACATCACAAAGCAGTAAGCATTTAGGTTTTTAAAATAACGATCAACAAAAATATAAATTTAACATCTCCGATTTGATTACATACAATTTGTTCATGTCTACATGTTACATATAATGTATATTTATGGTCAAAAACCTAACTAAATTGGCAAAACTAGGAATGTTATTTAGGTTTTGTGTATTTTTATATATATTTTTTTAATTTCTAACGAAAAATATACAAATGAAGGTAGACTGGGGATTCAAAAATATATTTAGTGTTAAAATTTTACTGTAGAATAAATTCTTCTTCTGCCTTGTGCAAGAGGGAAACAGAAGAAATAAAGAAGAAATGGAAAGATGCAAGATCCATTGTAAAGAAGAAAGAAGCCAGTAGAAAATACCAGACGAAGAGAACGGGCGGAGGGCCTCCCCCGGAATCTGTATTCAAGGCATGGGAACTTGACGTATGTGTTTTCTAATATTTACCGCATAGGCGTAGTCACAGGGGGGGGGGGGCAGCGGGGGCACTAGCCCCCCCCCCCCACACACTTTCAGATCGGGGGGGGGGGGGCAAGAGTATGTCTGTGACCCCCCCCCCACTTTTCAATGAAGAACAAAATTACAGCTATTTTGAAATAATATTAAACCTCATTTTATGGCATTTTTTTATGTTCAACAAATGAGTAAGCATTTCTCTTGAAGTAACAGTTGTATAATATAGTAATGTAATATAGTAATTAAATCGTCAAGACCTGCCCCCCCCCCCACTTTTTTCCCCAACATTACCTTTACTATAGGAAATGTTCATTGAGGGGATAGTTGCCTCCCCCCCCCCTTTTTTTGACCATAGTATAGTGATATCGAAGAATTGTGGGGGGAAAAATTGGAATTGAAAGTAACGTGCCTTTGAAAAAGTTGGCCACTAACACCCCCCCCCCCCCCACGAAATAGGATTTTCGAGTTTGGGGAACTTTCAATTGCTTTTCTTTTTTTTTCTTTTTTTTCTTCCTTTTTTTTTTTTTTTTTTTTTGCTTGTCAAAGAATTTCTGGAGTTGAGCCCCCCCCCACTTTTAAGTTTGTGACTACGCCTCTGTTACCTAAAATTGATATAATTATATGTACTATGTATTAAAAAAAGTTTCGATCGTTGCTAAGATGAGTTTCCGATACTGACACAATTATTTTTTCATTAATGTTTCGCACCGTTTATTATTTTAATAAATTGAAAAAGGCAACAACTATATTTTTTGTTTTTATTGCTAGATTTTGTCAATTATACCGGATGAACTTATCTCTGGGATTGACGGAGGGGTTGATACTGCCTTTGCCAGTAATTCTGAAACAAGTATGCATAAATACATGGTACATGCATGTATATTGTAAACATACGTTCACTACATGTATTTTTATAACCTCATAATGTTGCCTTCCCGACTTTTGCTTCATATACTATTTGATTTTCCATGCTTTGTATATTTAGTATTCTTGTAGTATACAGTAGTTACAGTATAAAAAAAATTGAAATATATGATATCTAAATACTAGTATTTCTTTGTAACAGATAACTTAGCCTCATCATGCACTGCAGTCCCATCGGAAATTTCCGCCGGAATTCCATCCTTGATTGGTTTGTATAATTATACATATTATATAATATACTTATAAAATTTTAAATCATAAAAATTATTATAATAGATTGTCAAAAATTTGATATGCATGTTCTTCACACGCGGAACACATAAGTGTGTAGATTTGAAATATTGTTTTTTTTTCAAAAAAAAATGTATGTTTGTACATGTATATAGTAGAAGAAGTTGACGTTCCGGAAGAAGCTCCAAGTGTACATGTGTCCGGGCCTTCCACCGACAAATTCTTTGCTTCAACTCTGTATGGATCTAAACGTAAAGGTAAAAAAGAAACAATGCCAACGCTATGAAAATGAATTAAAAATGTATTAAACATTCCTTCAGTTTTAATTTTCGCGTAGTTTTACGTTTGTTAAGATAAAAACCCAAGTGAACTGTTTCAACTTCATTCATGCACTTTTAACTATTCATATTACACATAATATGATTTTATTTGATTTTCTTCTGTTTCAATTGACTTTGTTCTGATTATAAAACTTTTCATTAAAAATCAAGACACGGCCAGCGACCCCGACGCTGAGTTTATGCTGAATTTGATAGGAGTGAAGGAGAGAAGAGCCATCGCAGAGGAGAGAAAAGCAGATGCCCTAGAGAGAATAGCGGCGGCATTTGAAAACAAATTTGGCATTTAATAAATTTGAACACAAAATGATAAAGTAGTCATGTTTTTTATTACAATGTAAGTGTGTGATTTAATGAATGGATGAATTGTTAAAATAAATTTGCAACTTGAATGCGCACATCCTGTGCTCTCCTTGGTGCGTTTGCGTTAAACACGGCATTGTCATTGATGTTCTGTACAACCCCACCCTCAAGTAAGGGGACTTCCTCTGAAACAGCTAAATTATGAAGCCGGATACAGCATTGAATAATTTGAGAACATCTACTTCGTGAAAAGGGGAGTACTCCTCCAGTTCGATGTAAACACCTGCAAAGATTTACTTGAATGTAAATACTGTGGAATCATTAGAATTCGTGGTGGCTCAATTTTCGTGATATTCGTTGGTAGCCCCCCCCCCCCCCCCCCCCCAAACCACCACGAATTTACATCTTCATAGGAAATTTAGAAAGAGATATCTTTGTTACTGAATCTGAAAACCGACCCATAAACGAAATTACATCTCCACAAATAACCAAAAAACCCACAATCTAAGAAAATTGGCCCACAGAATTTTAAATGAATTCACAATAAAATTGTAACAAGGTTTATTTATGGTTGCAATAGATATACATTTTTTTCTCAAATAAAAAAAATTTAAGGTCGCGTTTATCATAATGAACGTTTGAAATAAAATATTTGCTTGCAAATATGGCATATAAAGATATTTAACGAAAAATTGCTTTTAAATTACCTAAATCTGGATTTTAATACCTCAAACGATTTTTCTATGACAACACGAGTCTTTCCATGGGCATCGTTGTAATTCACTTCGTGTTGATTGGCTGGGGATAAGAATGGCGTTAAGAGCCATTCCTTGAAAGGGTAGCCAGAATCCCCAAGTAACCACCCACCCCCTTCGAGATGTTCCATAACACCTGACAATCCCGAGTTGCTCAAAACGAAAGAGTCTGAGTTGCCCCGGGAAAACAGGTATTGATTTGAAGAAATCTGAAATAATATCAACCAATTTTTCATCCTTTATGCATATGTAAGCAAACAATTAGCATTCTTATAATTGTTATATTTGTTTGGTTATATTTGGTGCAATAAAGTTATTTTAAAATTGACAACATTTACATTTTCAAAGGTTGTTATTTCATAAAACCCTTTTGGCGATATATTAAATATTTTGATTTTCTCCTGTTGAAGTTTTGGCGTATACAAGGGTATTTCTATTACAAAAAAATGATGTGCTAGTATTTATGTTTTAATCAATACCTTTTATACCTCATATTGGAATCTGTTACGGCCTGAATATTTAAGGCATGAAAGTTTTTTCTGCATACAAAAGCAGGCTCCTGTGGTCCATTCATGCCCTTAATTGGTATTAGAGTACCATCGATTGCACCAACGCAATTTGGAAATTTGGCAATGTCATAGAACTCAGATTTTACATGGCGTAATTCATTGGCAGTAACTGGAAACTTAATGTTGTCCACTGTTGTATTTATTGCACTGCACACTGTATAACAATATGATGAATCTGCGTTAAAATCCTTAATGATATATATAAAGAATATTTGAAAAGGAAATGTACAACTGATTAAATGTATTACAGGCATGTAGAAACATGAAGGATAGTGTATACAAACATGTGCATATTATTATTATCAGTATACCCCATAGTACTTGCAATTGTCACTTTTCTGAAACTGCTAAACCTAATTTCGTGAAACTTTGCAGTTATTGAGAACACATTGTGTAGGCGCATATTACAAAGAAATTCCGCTTCCTTTTTTTCTGGGAATTTCGGTACTTTTTATTTTATTCATTTTATCTGTACAAAATAAAGACTCAATAATTGCACGGAGTTTTAATACATGTAACGATTTCTTTGGAATTATGCCTCATTTTGAATTACTTGTGTGTATTTTAAATGTGTAACATGCCATTTATTTTGCATGATATTGTCAACTATTAAGAGGGGAGGGGCGCGGGATGTGTTTTAAAGTTAAAATAATGAAGTATAACAACCTGTATGTATTACTCGGGATACGGATGATCTGGAAACGCCACGAAGGTCGCCTACTTCCGAAAAGAAGTCCGCCTTTGACAGATATCTTAAGGTGATAATTACCTGTAAGATGTTTATGTGTATCTTTATATATACATTTATAAATAAGTATGCAAATGTAGTTTAATTATATTAATAGGTACATTGTAAAACCCATTATATTTGTCATATCATGTGATTCCATGCGTCAGTATTTGTTTATTTATGTGTGGATATTTAAGAAGCATACAATGCTACAGTAAGCATTCACATATACATGTACCTGAATGTGGGTGGGAATGGCATGACTTTTGTATGTAGGTCGCCTCACAATAGGGTCAACATCATTTATCAGTTTTCGAATGACTCTTCCCGGGAACCTATACCTACTTACGAGATCTATATCATCAAGATACTCGAGAGGGTGGTTCGGTCCCGAAAAACGCGTTCTCGCCGAGGTGTTTCCCTTCTTCTTCTGCGAAGCAGCCAGAAAGTCGCCATTATCCAATGTTTACGTCTATAGTTACGCCTGCCTTAGACCAGCCGTAGATTTTTGTCTTAACTTAAGGCGGGCGCAAAGTTACGCCCTTTAGTGAAACGGACCTTAGTCCAAATGTTAGACGTAAGTCCGGACTTACGCCGGGCGTAGAGTTAAGACAGGCGTACGCCTTTTAGTGAAACGGGCCCCTGGTCTCCAAAAACCACATAGATATTGTCAATCAGAAACTCAAGCATCTTTTTGCTGTCAACTTCAAAGTACTTGTGTGTGCAATCAGAATGTGTTTTAACAAAATAATTTTGCAAATGACCAATGACCAGGTAAGTAAATTTACGGGTTCCATTTTTATTGAAAAAGCAGCTGTCAATGATATAAAAAAGCCTGGACTGTAATTTATTGCGGGGAATGATTGTGTATAAACTTGAAAAGTCGTAAGTTTTTAAACTGTTGATTTTGGAAAAATCTTGTGATTTCAAATTGTCCAAAAATTCTTCGGAATTTTTTAGTATCCACATCTGATTCACACCACTTCTTGAATACATTATTGCACAGTACTCTTGAAGTTTTTCATTGGGATTCTGCAAACCAAAAATAAATCCATACCAGATACATTGATTGTGATGCTACTATTAAGATATGCAAGCAAATATATGTTGGAAAGGATTTAAGTACATAAAAAAATCCCCCTACTTACATTTGAAAGTATGAAAAATATCAGGAGACACATATATAAGGGTTTATAGTATAAAAAAGCAGGGGGTCAAATTTCTATGGGGGTCATTTTTCAACGTGTGTGGAGTCGTAGAATTAATGGTCTGGAATGTTTTTCTACAGTCGAAAAATGACCCTACTTGTCGTAGAATATTGACCCGGGGTCATTTTTCTACGTAGAAAAATGACTCCCTGGTCAATATTCTACGGGGGCCACTTTTCGTCGTTACACCGGCAAAACGAATGTTTCCATGCTTTTAACTCATTAGACATGATTGGTATGGGGATGGATCTCTAATGGTGTCGAGCGGCATCACTGTTGTCGGTAGAACATACTTGCATGTTGTTGGAAGTGTCACAGGGCAGTACTGCCGGGACAACATCTTGACACCCCTATTTATGCCATTTGCACGTCGTTATTGAGTTTTATTTTTCAAGATGACAATGCCAGATGCCATACGGGCAGGATCGTTACAGGTTATCTCCAACAGCAGAATATGATCACATTACCATAACCCACGCTCAGAACGGACCTTTCCCCATCGATGTCGCGGACATGTTTAAACAGATGCAATGCCAACGTCAACAACGTCCTGTCAATGTCCAACAACCTGCCAACAATATTGCAACAAGAATGAAACTAGAGGTACTGTGAGCGATGAGCTCACTAAATGATACCCCCCGCCTCCCATATGGTTATAACTGGTGAAAAAGTCCATGTTTTCCTGTGGCCGGGAAACCCAAAATATGTGTCGGATCAAAAAGTAAAATAGAAGGTGCACATTGGCAATATGTAATAAAAATTCTGTGAAAGTTGCATCAAATTTCATTCAGTGGTATGAGAGGAGTTGCGGATAAGAGATGGGTACGCCAAAGCGTAACAGACGGACGGACGGACGGACGTACAGACGGACGGAATTAACGATTACTATATACCCTCCCGCTTTTCAAGCGGGGGGTATAATAACCTACTCCAAATGATCTGAGACGTCTTGTTAAGAGTACGCCACGCCGAATCCGACCTTGTCTGGTTGGTTTTTACCCTCTACTGACTCACAATGGCGGTAGATGTGTGACATTGTGTTGGTGTCGACCTTTATTCTAGAGAATCTGTCCTTTCTGACTGTACACAGGGTTTCGAATACTAGTAAATTAACAAATGTTTCCTTAATGTTTTCTGTCAGTTTGTTTCTTTCCTGACCACCTCATGATCTGCATTTCATTGTCCTTGTAAATATTTTTTTTTAAAAAAATTAAGAGGAGTTCAGGAACCAGGGTTTTGTTAAAAAATTTTCCTGACATCTGATTACCTTAACGGTGGAAATTGAGATTCAAAAAATATTTAACATTTACAAAAAATTTTCTTATTCATACTGGAAAAGTTGTAAGAGGAGTTCTAAGAATTAAACTCTGTGGGGAAAAAACTAGATGGACAATAGGGTGTAAATTTTTTTGCTCATGCTAATAGCATATTCTAAACGATAAACTGGCTACAACTGAAAATGAAAGAGTGGTTTAAGACAGAGGAAAGTGTGGCAGTTGGACGAACGGACCAAGATAATAACAATATACCCGAACTTTTTTTAAGAAAGTGCATTCAGGTATAAAAATATTTGTCAAATATGAATTAGTTCGCTCATACTTCAGGTAATGACTTTATGGAGATCTCTGGATATGAGCTATTGCATAAAGGATTGCTTTAATTTTGTTATTGGACTTGCCATTTACTTTATTGGTAAGATCTATAGTTACCGGTTCCGGTATGCTTTGACCTGGAAAAGACAGCATCTTCCGTAAAATCAAACGGAAACAAATTCTATGAAAAATTGATCGAAATTAGGCCCACAATAATCCGAGGATGAATTTGGTCTCAAAAAGCTTAATTCACTTCAAAATGTTTTGTGTACTGCTTCGCAAAATGTTTTTAAGCTACCAGGAAAAATATTTTGCGGCCGCCGGAAAATAATTTGGAAGCAGCTAGATAAATATTCTTTTCTTACCTGACACATACTTACAGAAGTCCATTTATGACCTATCAGAAATATTTTGAATTTGTTATAACGATTTTTAGAACTCGTTCTAACGAATTTAATTTGTTATAACAGATTTATTGAATTCGTTATTACGAATCTAATTTGTTATAACAGATTCATTGAATTCGTTATAACGAATTTATTTTGTAATAACAGATTCATTGAAATCGTTATAACGAATTTAATTTATTATTACAGATTTATTGAATTTATTACAACGAATTTAATCTGTTATTACAGATTTGTTGAATTCGTTATAACCAAATTCTTGAATTGGTTATAACGAATTCAACAAATCTGTAATAACAAATTAAATTCGTCATAACGAATTCAGTGAATCGGTAATAACAAATTAAATTCGTTATAACGATTTCGATGAATTTGTTATAACAAATTAAATTCGTTATAACGAATTCTAAAAATCTGTCATAACAAATTAAATTCGTTATAACGAATTCTTCAAAAATATTTTTGATAGGTCCTAAATGGGCTTCCGTACATTACGGATGTAGGTAAGAATTAAAAAAAAAACAAAAAAAAAAACGAGTGCACATTTTCCTTATTTAAGGATATCAAGCGGAACAATTTCATAAAAATTTCCTTGTTTAAGGAAATCAGCTGAATACTGGTATATGTACTTCATTTTGATGTGATTTTTTTTTAATTTGTACCATTCACATTGATTATTTACAATGTAACTTACTCTGTAGATTTTCACTTTAATACTTTCAGAAGGTGAATGTAACAACATGCTCACATTGTGCTTCCTTTTCCTCCTCGTCCTCAAAGATAAGTACTTTCTTGACTTTATATTTCAATAGTCAGATTTTGTTTTGTTCATTACAAAAAAATCACTAATTTGAATGTATGATCATATATATGTATAAAAGCCTTTTCATCTATTTAGGTATCAGCTCAATAACAGTGACAACAAAGCCAGAGCTTAATGTGACACTCGGTTCAAATACACAAATTATCTTGAATTGTACATACCAAACAGATATTTCTGTGAGAACAATAATATGGAAAAAGTCATTTGATGGCGTTTACAAGGACTTGGCAGAATTCGGTGATGGTCGTGCGTATTTTGCCATTGATGGGGGTTACTTGAGGAATAGATCTAATCTCATCAATCCAATAAACGGTTCTCCAAGTGCTGTTGTGATAATCAATGACATCCAGTGTGCGGATGATGGACGGTACCAATGTCTTGTGAAGTACATAGATGGAGGTATTGGAAAACAAGCTAGAAATGATACAACAGTTTTTTTTACAAGGTAATAAAACACATCAAGGACAATATAACTGTAATTACAACTCAGCTATTGTTTATCTTGGCAATCTCTATGCAAGTCTTACTTGGAAGACAAGACGTTTGTTTTATATACATAAAACTTAAGACTCTGTAAATGCACATTGAAGTTGCGATATTGCGATATTTTTTCATTGAAGTGAATTCTTTGCGTTTTAATTATTGAACATCAACTCTTTCATTATGACAAGCATATTAGTCAAAATGTTTGAGAACATCCCTCCGTCTGCGACAAGCAACATGGGTTTTGCTGATTTAATTAAATACAATGATTAAAGAGCCTTACAGTAGTAAAATATCTGAATGGTTTTGAGCCATCTTTAGAACTTTGTCATGAAAGGACACTCCTTTATCCTTAAAAAGGGGAAAACGGTCAAATGGTTCATTTGAATATCACCTTTTCAGTGTAACTCGTGTTTCTAGTTGCAAGAAAAAATCTTTTACATGAGGTCTTCGGCGATTTATGTGAAGCAGCTTTCACATACACTCTCATTTTCAACATTTTGGAAGATATCCTTTATAAACAGTAGTGACCATGCTTACTTAAACGTGAATTTCTTTTTTAGGACAATCGGAAAAAAATCCTGGAATTTTTTGTGATCAGTGGTTCTTTGATAGAACTTTTCAACTGTGAAAAAATATAATTAAAAATTTTACACTCATTCTGATAAACTGTTTATTTCTGTGTTATTGAAAGACCCTCGTAAAATTTTAGTAAATGTGCCTGCTTATAAAATCTTTTTTCTCAGTGGGAGCAGAGCAGCCAACAAATTTCGAGTTACACAAAAATAGCACTCTAAAAGAAAAGGACGCAGTATTTTTGTCTTGTTCTGCAAATGTCGGAAACCCTGGTGGATTTGTTGCTATATGGAAGCTAAATAAGTTGTCAAATAAACTGGTTCTTTTGAATCGGTCAAGTGAAGTAAATGAAAAGACTGAAAATTGTACAGCGATTGCAAACTTCAACATAACTTACAGAGTTTCCTGGGATGACAACGGTGTGATTTTCAGATGCTCCTCACAAAATAGACAAACACAAGAGCCTGCTCCTTATAAAGACACAACAGCAATTGATGTTCAATGTAAGTGATACATTCCTGAAATGGTTATGTGCTACTTGTCTATATTTATATATGTAAATCGATCATCGCTGTTTTATGAGGTACTGCCTTTGGTTTAAAGGCGTAGAAAAAAAAAACTGTAGTATATATTCGAGTTCTATATATGTAGAAATTTTAGCGATTTGTCCTTTGACATTAGTATTTCATCTTTAACGAGATTAAATGTAATTTTAGCGATTTAAAATGCTCACTTAAGAGTCTATTACAAATATAACGCAATTAATTATAACCGATATTTAATCAAAACGATCTCAGCAGTTTCAATAATAATGCCAAAAGTAATTCCTCGATAAAATTCTGTTTATAAGATGTTATAGCATTTATTGTTATGTTGCAGATGGACCGTCGAATATTACAATGCATAGCTCTACCCCTGATCTTGATCTATTTATCGGAGAAAGTCTTAATCTTACATGCAGTTCTGATGGAAATCCAGTCCCTCGTTTCGAATGGAAATTCAATTCCAGCGACATTTTAATCGACGACAGACACACCCTCACTAGGGACAATAGAACGCTGCGTCTCATGAACGTGAATTTAGATAACAACGGCATTTACATTTGTGTTGCCTCAAATTTAATTGATGGTGAAATAACGAAGGTGTCTTCACATCTAACACTAAACGTCCGACAAAGAGAGCCAGTACCAACACACCTGTTTTCCTGTGCAGAAAGTCCGTGTGGAATAACCGAAAGTTGCACAGAAAGTAACGGTAGACCAGCCTGTACCATAAACATTTGGAGTCCTATCTGTTTCTTGTTCGTATTTCTTACGATAGTTTTTGTGGTTTCAACTGCTATTTTGATAATTAAACAGAAAAAAAAAATTAAGAAGCAGCAAAATTTTGAAATTTGGGTAAGTAAAAAGTTTTAAATCTGTTTTTATTCGAAATTTTAGTATGACATCATCTTTTGTTCTTTTAATACATTATTCTTATTGAAAGCCCAAGACAGACCAGTGAGCTACCTGAAACTCTCCAATAAACTAAAAAAAAAACCCCAAACCTGTCCAACGGCTGTTCAACAGGTCTTTCATAAAGAATGGACAGTTTTTGACATTTAAACTTAACTCATTGACATGTAAATGAAAAAGATTTTTTAAAAGAGAAAACAACAGTGAAAACAAAGCAGAAAACTAGCCGAGCCTCCATTTCAAAAATCTATAGTCAATTGTGCATGTGAGTTTATATATATTATTATAACAATAACTTGATCCCAAGGGTCGTATCACGTCGAGTTGACAGGCGCGGATCATCAGATCTAACGAGACGCGAAGCGTCGAGTTTGATCTGATGATCCGCGCCTGTCAACGAGACGTGATACGGCTCTACGGATCAAGTTACTGTTATAATGATAAATTTATTATATACCCCCTTATAACTAGCTAAATATAGCAGAATAAAACTTTAGAGATCAATTGTATAATATTTATCCATAAAACACAGCATAATAACAAGGGACTTTTTAACGCGCAAGAAAAATAACGTCATGTTTTTGCGTACTACGTCATCAGTTTCAGAGAGTGGTGATATGGGACTTTCTCTATGGCAAAAAATGAGTTATACAAAAAGGGACTTAAAGCTTTCTTCAAGTTGCGAAAAGACTTCCTTAGCTTAAATCCTGGGATATCCACTAGCCTCAATGTCTTTGATCACACAATTAAGCCTATATTACTTTATGGCTCAGAAATATGGGGAATATTTAATGTTGATAATTCAAAAATAAAGCAATCTAATCAAGTCTTGATGCAGCTATGCTACAAAAACTTTACTGGAGAAAATTTACACATCAAGTTCTGTAAAACTATATTAGGTTTGAATAGGAAAAGTATGAACCATGCTTCTTTTCAGAACTAGGCAGATATCCTTTACACTATGATATTATCAACAGGTTACTTAAATACTGCTACAGATTAGAAAATTTAAAATCAGATTTTCCTTTACTAAAAGATGCATTTATATGTGGTAAGGAACTTCATTTTGCCCCAAAAACAACATGGTACTCCTCAACAGAAAAATTATTAAAAATTCTTGATATCCCAAACATAATGTCCTATACTAAGAGTAATTTTATGAATTCATTGAAACAATCCATGAATAAAAAATACTCACTTGATTGGCAACACTTAAATGAAACACTAAAAGAGGGCAAACTTGTCACTTATTTATTTCTGAAGAACAATTTTAGACTGGAAAAATATCTAGTTTTATTAAAACCTGAATACAGAAAGCCAATTTGCAGATTACGTGTATCAGCACACAGGCTATTCATAGAATTGGGCAGATATAATAACACACCCAGATCAGAAAGAATATGTAAAAATTGTATGCTTAATCAAATTGAAGATGAAAAACATTTCCTTATTCACTGTAGCAAATTTACAAAGGAAAGAGAAGAGCTATTTAACCTGATCTCATCTAAAGTAAAACATTTTACAGAATTGCCTGATAAGCAAAAATTATTCTGGATTCTAAATTGTGAAGAATTAGATATACTAAATTCTCTTGGAAATTTTTTACAAAAAGCATTACCATAAGTTTTAGGAATATGACTTAATAATGTATGCATAGATAAATGATGTACTGTATTAGTGTATATATACCTATAAAACAATTCTTATGTACTGTACATATAAAATATTTTGGGTATTCCCCTACTTGTATATGTCTTTCCTATCAATCAAGCAACCCTTTCCCTCATATGTATATGTATATTGTATTGCATGTGTATGATAATCATTATATACATTTTAACAATGTACTTTCTTTTTGCTCCACGAGGGCCCTTAATTGGTCAATAAATTGAATTGAATTGAATTGAATTGAATTGAATATGGATTCAGAAAACCACAGTGTGGTGATCCGGAAAATCGGATCAAACTCTGTAAAATTAACAGTAACAAAACAAGGAAATTGATGGGTATACAATAAATAATTAGACAGTATGATGGATATTTTCCAAATGTTAGAAACCAGTCCATTTTAACCTTTTTATGGAAACTTTATCACAGAAACCGTCAACTGAAGGTCTTTTTGATAAAAGTTCAAAATGGTGGCGTTGGGATTTTAGAAAACAAACACAATCTATTCAAAAAATTATGTTAATTTATGCAATTTTAGAGAAAAAAAGTCTTGTTTAACATTAAGATTGAAGTAAATTATATAAGCATGAGAAGGACACATGCACTTGTACCATTGTGTTCGAATACTTATAAATTATGTTACCGTGATGCTAATTTTTTTTTATTTTCTTATTTATCATATAAATTTAAATGTATTATTGTTATAAAAAAATTCATAGCCTTCAATGTTTTTTTCAGATGCCATCTTTCGATGGATTGTCATACTGGACATGTACAATATGAGGTTTTGAATGCAACAGTAACAGTGAACACAACAGGATCAAGTGGCACTGAGAATAAAAGATATGAAGTTTTAAATTCCAGGGAACAAATGAGCAAAATAGGAGAAAGAAATACAATGAATACAGAGTACGAAACCTTGAAAAGAGAAACGAGCGTTTCAAGACAAAATGATGCTGAGAACGAAAGATATGAAGCTTTAAACAAAACTGAAAACCAGTGTGTTTTTCATTTTAAAAACTTATTTTTATTGGGATTTTGTAATTTATGTAAAAATCTTTTTAATGTTACATTTTTATTCGGATGAGACGTATAAACATTAGCCAAAAGGACCTTGAAGAAAGGTGGTATCAGGTGCCATGGCGGAGTGAGCATCCCCTGTCGATCGGTCACACTGTCATGATCGAGAGAAACTGAGAAAAAAGAAGACTAATAAGTGTGTGAATAATGTACCAGTCAATTGTTTGAAAAATGTCAGTCAGCATTTGCCTCAACGATTGGTTGAATTTGCTGACAGGATCATTGTTTAGAAAAAAAAACTTGTAAAATTACTTCAAATAAGACTTTTGTTATCCTTGTTTCATCTTGTGAATACATGTACCTTACTTCGATATAGAAGTTGTTTACTTTTATGCTTTTATGTACCGAATCAACAGAGAGAATTAAGAAAAGTGTTAACGATTTAAAAATAAATGGTAATAAATGTCAATTGATAATACGTCGTCGATATATCTAAATGTCGAGTTGAAGGACACAGCAGTATGTATTTTCTTCTTTTTCTGTAGATTTAAAAAAAAAAATTAAATTCTCCTTCATATGAATACCAACTAGGTCTACAAATTATGCAGCGATGTTGTTGCCTATTGATTGAAGTGCATGCGTATAGGTAATCGTTATTTTTATTATAATGAAGGATTTGGAGAGAACAAACAGTATTCAAGATCAAAGTCCATAAAACAATACAAAATAGGAGCACAGACCTCCAAAACATCGGACGTGGGATCAGGTGCCATGGAGGAGTGAGCATACCCTACCAACCGGTCACTCCCGTCGTGTGCTCCTTGTCATGAATGAGAAATAACGAAAAAATCCGTTGCATTTCAGTGTAAATAATGGATAAACAATTAGTATGAAAAAGGTCAGTTAGTATTTAACACAATGATAAATTGTATTTGCTGACAAGGTCATTGTATCGACCACAGAACTTACGAAATAATGACTTTAGACGAGACAGCTGATATTCTTGTTTATAAATAACACAAAGCGCAGCTGTTGCTTTTCAGCAGAAATAACACCCATCAGGTAGACAATTTTTCTTCTTCATTGTTAAACTGTTAAACATTTTAAAATGAATTATTTGCAATATTGTGAAAACTAACACTAGTATATATATTCATTATATATTATTCGTTAAAAGCTTCTTTAAGATTTTTTCTATTCCTATAACAACAAAGTTGTTATGGGTTGTTAGCATTACTCGTGTGTATTCGTGTCCTTCTCTAAAATAATGTTATAAACAAGATATGCTCGGAACGTCTTTTGACTAGAATATGCTGCTTCAATTTTCTACTTACTTGGTATAAATAGGCTATAAGTTTGGGAAGACGTATTTACTATTCTTTGAATATTTAAATCAACTAAAGATTTCTTGAGCAGTGACTCTTCCCTCAGTGAAACGTACAGTGACATACATGCAATCAGCAATAGAAAATCGAATATATATAAAGCACTCAAAATGACTAAGGATACGAACAATAAAAAATGTAGATTTCCTAGACAACTTGTTCCTTCCTCAGGACAAACGAAAGAGTTAAGAAGTCATTAATACAACTAGCATATCTTCTACACCAAAAACTAAATATTTAAAGTGTTGCACGTTTATTCGTTTAATTTGAAGTTTCTAAACAGTTTCACCCTTCGGGTAGTCTGAAAAATCTGACGTTTTTCTTGCTTTTTAACGATTTTGATATTTTACATGCCAGGAAAACGTCAGAACCGGCGCCATTACAAAAACCGGGAATTTCACCGTTTCCACCCGAAGTTGATTTTCTATACTTGGGAACCGAATTAGACGCCGAAATCACAATTTATTAATGGCACAATGCTTCTAGAACTCACCAATATATGAATAGAAATTACCACTCCACATTCCAAATCAGAACTTACACGATTTACAAATGCACGAAATGAAAACAAATCTCAACACTCAGATAAAATGTGTTCATCGGATTATATTATTTCATAAACAGTACATAAAAACGATGTTGGTGAGGACTAAAGGTGTAGTACTATTGATAAAATGTGAATTCAGTATTTAATTCGGTTTACCAGTATCGAAAATCAACCTCTGAATGCCGCCTCCGGTTGGAGGCGGCGATTTCCCAGTTTACGTAATGGCGCCGGTTCTGACGTTTTCCTAGCATGTAAAATATCAAAAACGAAAAAAAGCCAAGAAAACGTCAGATTTTTCGGACTACCCTTTGGGTGGAATGTCTTCGGTCTCTGCATCAAGAACTTCTTGCTTTTTCCCTAAGCGTCTGTCCATCTTGGATTATGGTCAATGACCATTACTGTCATGTCCTCCCATTTGTGACCTTCAAGGCTGAAATGTTCCCCAACGGGTTCATTGATTTTTTTGTTCACCCGATCTATGTTGACCTTTTGCAAAATGAAATGCTTCTGTGGATCGATTTCCAGCGCAAACATGGTGCAGAAGATTCACGAGAAGCAGGAACGCTAAAGGTCAAGGGCATAAATTGGTCGAATAGTGATTATTGACCCTTCTCTGGAGATTTTCTATTTTCAAAACATACTGTTTTTACAACTTTGGTACAGCTGAGATAAATGCAGTTGTTTGTTTGACAGGACAAATTCTCTAATATTTTTTAGCTGCGGCCTTTAACGGACTGTTAAAACTGTCTGTGTCAGAGCTTTACTCACAGAAAATATTTCTTCTGTCAGGGCAAGTTTTGAAGCCTCCGTTAGGTAATGGATTGCTCAGTCTGGTTTTTATTACCAAATCCTTAGGTTCCTCGAGAGTCCTTATGCAGCAAATGGATGTTTCTTAAAGACCTCTTTCATTCGTTTATTTTAGTGGAGAATTGGCAGTATGTCACTTAGGTTCTTTAGGATTGGATGTTACAAGAAATTATATTGATACCAATAATGAATTATCAACAATTTTGGTTTCCGAAATTTTGAAATTAAAAAAATGTCTAAATCCATTTTTTGAAGATTTCAAAATAATTTATCAATTAATAAGATGTAAACAGTCATTTGTTAAACGAAAAAAATAAATCAGTATCTTTGATTTGAATTCAAACTATTATGAGCATAAACAATATATACTAACATATTGAAAATGAAATTTTCCTGTCTATAAATTCATAATGTAAAAATCTACGGTTTATGTTGATATAAAAGCTCTCATACGAAAAATAGAATCTTACAATCAATAAATAATGAAGCATTTTGTAGGTTCATCGTTCTATACTTTTCAGACAAATATCGACAGAAAGTGAGCACAGGTGTTCACAGTGTCATCAATACCGAATAAAACCTTTCAAACAAAAACAAACCAGCAGAAACTTTATGCTAGATACATTTAGTTCAAAAATAATATTTGAAGAATTAACTTCCAACATTTTTCTTTTAAAATGTATTTCTCTGAATTTAAACTTGTCAACATTGCTTTCGACAAGGTAATGAGGTCATGAATGTTGGTAACTAAGAGAAAGCCTTGGCACAACAAATGTGCTTATGTTCTTATTCGAACAATCTCAAACGAACATAAAATATTTACCAGCCTTATTCAAAATCATAACAACACTGATTATGGGTAAATGCTCCAAGACTTGCGCATTTATTAACATATAAATTACATAGAACACGCGAATATCTGCCTCGCTTTCCTGAATATACATGTAACTTGATTACGTAGATCTACAACATAAAGGCATTTCAATAATTAAACATTTTCAATTCATATTATAATATAAACATACCAATACCCGCTGAACTAAATAATATATAAAATGGAGGGTGGGTGGGCGGGCGTAATGCGTGTGAAAAGCGCAAAGTCTTGAGGTCGAATGACTATAAAAATCACAGAGCATGCCAGTCATGCTCTACATAACCCGTTTAACAAGTATTACTACGCGTTACCTCTTACACCCTATAAATAGCAACCACGTGTTCGATATAAACAAGTTAGATTTATCAACCTGCAATAAATATATTTATGTTCTTATTCGAACAATCTCAAACGAACATAAAATATTTACCAGCCTTATTCAAAATCATAACAACACTGATTATGGGGAAATGCTCCAAGACTTGCGCATTTCGAATGTTACAAAGAAAGGGTAAAATAAAGAAAAATGCAATTAATGATACACACAAATATTTTATGATCAAATGCCCAGGCACTTTGACACAGACAATAGTGATTGTACATTTTCATGAACGTAACCGTCTTTTGCATTGTCTGAACGCCACCTGCCGTGTTTCTTAAACAGTCTGTCACTTACACCAGCATTAGCAGCTGCAGTAGCGCCCCCAGACCTAAGACTCTGAAGACCAAATTTCGATTTATCCACCCCACAGGTTTGCAAAGTTAGATTTATCAACCTGCAATAAATATATTTGTAAAACATGAAAACCAAAACAACATGGTTTCAAAGTATTAAAGTTTTTTTCAAAATAAGTCAAAACCAAAGTCAGGATTAAAGGTCAAATTTGTATTGTTGGTACACAAAACATATTGTCAGATATAATAAACATAATGCAATTTATTTCACTACAAAATAAATCCGATTATTATAGCAATGACAACATTAGTTCACTTAACATTTGCCTTCATTGTCTATGATAATAAACAACTTAATACAAGAGGTCTAGCACCAAATACTTCAGCTCAAAGGTTTATAAATGTTTATACTGAAAGTGATGTCTTATCACAAGGATTAACACAATTGTACTATGAAGCTCTATGAAAGTTTAAGTGTATCAAAGTAGGTCAAACTCTATAGGGTCAAAAGATGAAATATATTGATAGTTCACCCTCAAAAGATCTTTTCACAGGGATTACAGATGAAGGATATAAAATCCCTAGCTTCAAATAATCAACACTTAAGGAGGAACAGGACCTTTAGCTGAAAAAATTCCTGTCAATGAATTTTT